AAACAGCTGGGAGGAGGCCTCGGGGCAGAACCAGAGGAGCTTGAGGAGGTGACTGAACTCAGCTTAGACCCAGGTAGGCAGCAAAAAATGGGTGGATGGCCTTAACATGTTTATTCCATCTCTGGAATAACCTGCATTTCATGACCGGGCTTTTCCATTTGGTATAAATGATAATAAATAATAAACTGTGCTCTTGCATGGTCTGCAGATCAAACTGAAGCTCAGCAAACATCAGCAAACACACTACAAAATAAAAGCTTTGAAACATCCAGCACAAACCACAGTTACACCATTAAAGTTTAAGTCTAGCAACAAAATGCAAACTGGACTTTAAGCCTGTGTTGGATTTACACGTGGTTCTTTATTTTAGCTGAAGCTTCAGTCGCGCCGTCACAAAGGGAAGCCCGTTGATCTCAGTCATGTATGAAGGGAGGAATATTTCTTTAGGCTGCTCATTTATTGACGTGTACAGCTCGAGCCTGACTGAAGTGACTTTCAAACATGTAGAAGTTCAAAAGTCGAAGCTAAATTTATTTCAGCTCTACACAAACACAAACACTACCTGTAACTGATCACTTCCCCTCTGGAGCTTTTATAGCTGGAGGCGACTAACTTACTGTTTTGCTGCTGCTTTCACTTTATTACTTTGTTGTTTACAGAGTTTTGGGGCTTTGAGGAGTATAAAATATTCTTATTGCTGTAAATATATAGAAATATACGTCATCTATTCATCAGGCCGGGAGCGACGCTTAGATGCAGATGTTGTTTGATCTGATTTTTCAGAGGAGGAAGTCTGTGAGAGTTTCTCTACCCTCCTACCCTGCAGCCATCTGTTCAGTAATGTTTAGTTCACTGAGGTCTTATTTAAGCTACACAGTGTACCTCCTCTGAGTGTCTCACAGCACATTTAGATAAAGTTATGGAGGCGGGTGAAGACTGAACCTCATCTTCAGCAGCTGTTCTGCACACTGAGAGTCAAATATCCTTATTCTGTTTGTTATGAAGAGAGATTTCTGTCTTTAATTATATTTTTATTATTATCACACTTTTTCTGCCTTTTTAAAATTTCTTTAAAGGTTCTTTGAGGAAAATGTGTTCCAGAAGTTTGTAGATGAAGGTTTTAGTAGACTGCGTTATACCAGTGCATCTCAAAAAATTAGAATATTATTAAAAAGTTTATTTTTTCATAATTCAAATGGGGAAAATCTTCACATATTCTGTATTCATTACATGTAATGTTTCATGCCTGTGTGGAAGCATATTACCAGGAATGATGTCATCTATCATCTACACAGCCGTCAGCTTCCATCTGATGAAGAGCTTCATGGAGATGTCAGTTTTCTTTTCGAGCAGCACCCAATGATTTGTTGACCACGTTGTTCTCTGATTGGTCCTCGAGCTCACCTGACTTTAGCGTTAATGGAGAATCATCAAGAGAAAGATGAGAAACACTCGACCAGACGAGCTGAAGAGCGCCATCAGAGCAGCCTGGACTTTAATAATAATCATCACAGTTTGAAAACACGCTTCCAATATGTCACTTTATGTGTAATGAATATGAACATGGGATATATGAAAATTTGATAGTCGTGATATTCAAATGTTCTGAGATGCACAATTATAAAACATAATTTAATAATTTTTTATGACAGGGCTTTTGTTTTTGGGAGTAGACGATTAGATTTTGGAGCTTCATTCTAAAAATGTTGCACATTGATGAGGGAACAATGACATCATTGCTCTACTGCTTAACCCTTAAAGCTAACAGGCTACCATAAAAACATAATAATATTAGTTATTATTGAGCTCAGAGAGAGGAGGCTGATCTATATATACTTACTTTACATCTTTGGTGGGTCTCTATATGTAGAAGAACCTAATAGTATTTAAAACATAATGTAGAGGTCTGCAGTGAGTCGTGCTTTCATTTTAATTTTCGGATATTTTCCTCAGTGTGGTTTTTAAATGTTACTAACTGGTTTGATGCAATTATTAAAAAAATAATTATTTGATTAATTAAGTAAAAATAGTCGACCTTTCAAAGTCTTGAACTTTTGGACTGTTTTTTTTTTTAAAGCATTGTTTTTGTTTATTTACATGTTGTTTGCAGAAGTTTGAAGTTTTTCTTTGTTCACTGACAAAAAAAGCAAAAAACACTGAACTCAGATCAGTTAGTTTACTTTACAGAAATGTAACCTGATAGTTTCACTGTACAGATTGTTCTTTAGAGCCGCTGTGGTTTAAGTGCAGTACTTACTGTGTACTGAGACTTTACAGCGTCAGTGCTGTGTGAGGCGTTTAGGGACCGTTTTATTGCTGCTGAAAACACAGACAGGTGTATTAAACCACAGGTGAGCAGTTCTTCAGCCTGAATCCCATTTACCCTCGAAGATTTTACCTTTTTCAGACCACTATTATAAAAAGAACGGAATCTTTATGGCTTACCTGCCCAAATAAAGTTAATGTTGAGTCAGTGCGCCATCTTGTGGTACGAATTGGTATTGCAGTGAAGAACAGCCCAGTCTGCAGAACGTGTATGCAGATGTTTTAGGCCCAGATGTTTTGGAGCTTTTTATTCACATTCTGTTGATCGTTTAGTTTATTTTGAAAGGTTTTCAGGTCTGTGCTAGAGTGAAGATAAAAGAGAAAATTACAGTGATAAATACAAAATGAGTGCACTTAAAGAGAAACGTTTTCCATGATGGAAGGTGTGTTATTATGTTTATCAATAAGTCAGTCTTTTCTGAGTGACTTACCTTTCAAAGAGCTGTGCCGCCCTCTGGTCATACAGGTGTTACTGTCACACACATCTGCAGCAGTGTGATAGTTGTGTGTGTTTATGAAAATCAGAC